GACAGCCCTGAAGGTCACCTCAAGGTGACTAGGACACTGTCAGGGGTGGGTGTGGGTCCAGCAGCACTGCTCCAAGGATGGATGGACATGGATGGATGGATGGCTGGATGGAGGGATGGATGGACATGCATGGATGGATGGATGGCTGGATGGAGGGATGGATGGACATGCATGGATGGATGGATGGCTGGATGGAGGGATGGATGGACATGCATGGATGGATGGATGGCTGGATGGAGGGATGGATGGACATGCATGGATGGATGGATGGCTGGATGGAGGGATGGATGGACATGCATGGATGGATGGATGGCTGGATGGAGGGATGGATGGACATGCATGGATGGATGGATGGCTGGATGGAGGGATGGATGGACATGCATGGATGGATGGATGGCTGGATGGAGGGATGGATGGACATGCATGGATGGATGGATGGCTGGATGGAGGGATGGATGGACATGCATGGATGGATGGATGGCTGGATGGAGGGATGGATGGACATGCATGGATGGATGGATGGCTGGATGGAGGGATGGATGGACATGCATGGATGGATGGATGGCTGGATGGAGGGATGGATGGACATGCATGGATGGATGGATGGCTGGATGGAGGGATGGATGGACATGCATGGATGGATGGATGGCTGGATGGAGGGATGGATGGACATGCATGGATGGATGGATGGCTGGATGGAGGGATGGATGGACATGCATGGATGGATGGATGGCTGGATGGAGGGATGGATGGACATGCATGGATGGATGGATGGCTGGATGGAGGGATGGATGGACATGCATGGATGGATGGATGGCTGGATGGATGGATGGAAGGATGGATGGATGGATCCAACTTGGGCCTGGGAAGCCAGAGGTGACATGGGAGAGTTTTTCTAAGAGATGTGTTCCCTTTTTCCATGCTCACCTGGAGGAATGTGTTAAGGTGCATAGTCTGCTCCCAAAACCTTGTGGTGGGATGTCCTCCCTTCCTGGGCCCCTTCCCTTTAAACAAAGAGCCATCATTTTTCTGGCTTGCATTCCCTCCAGGCTAAAAGATCATCCAAGGTCACAGAATCCCAGACTCATTTATGTTAGAAAAGACCTCTAAAACCATTGAGTCCAACCTGTGCCCGATCCCCACCTTGTCATCAGCCCAGAGCACTGAGTGCCACCTCCAGTTGTTCCTTGGTGACACTACCACCTCCCTGGGCAGCCCCTTTTAATGCCTGACCACCCTTTGCATGAGGAAATTCCTGCTGATGTCCAACCTGAACCTCTCCTGGAGCTGTTTGAGTCCATTTCCTCTTGTCCCATTGATGTTCCAAGGTGTGGTTCATTAAACCAAGGTGCTACCAGCCCAGAGAGCTCCCATCTTCCCTCACCGGTTCCACACCACCTCAAACCCAGGAGAGGAGACAGAAGATCCCCTTGGCTGTGTTTTCCAGCTTAACCAAATCCCTGAAGCCATGAGGAATGGCCCAGGTCTGAGTTCTTGATCAGAACTGGCATCAGAAGCTTTGTAGGCCCATGAGGTGCAGTCAGCCCTCCTGGGCACGTGGAGCCTGTCCAGGCATCAGCTGTGGGAATCAGCTCATGCAGGGGATGCTCCATCTCCTGCTGCAACACCTGGGGATGTGGAGCCACAGGAACATCAACATCCAAACTGCTCCAGGCCTTCCATTATCCACACCTCTGCAAGGAGATGGCTCAGCTTGGCAGATCTGCAATCTCCGTGCTGACAGATGGGATCTGACAGGAGCAGCACAGCTGGCAGAGAGGAGACATTCCTTCTCTTCCTGAAACCTCCCAAGTGCTCCTCAATAACGCCAGTGCTCGGAAAGCTCTGTGGTTCCTGCAGGAATCATCTCCTGGGTGGATGTTTGGTTCCTCAGGGGAAGGAGGCAGCAGCTGTGCATCAGCACAGCCATTGCACAGCCCCCCCAGCTGGAGCTGATGGATCAGCTGAAAGAGGAATTTTGGGTCAGTGGATATTGCTGTCAGCACTGGGCTGTGCCCAGGTTGCCATGGGGACACCTGTGCCTTTGGGGTTTGGGTCGTGCAGGGAATCAAGGTGCTCTTTCACCCCATTTCGTGGAGAATTTTGGGGTTTCTGTGATCCTCTCTTCCACCAGCCCCGCTCTGAATGCATCCCCAACCACATCTGAGGCAGGGTGGAGGGCTGGGAGACACCAAGCTCCTCCAACAAGCCCGTGCAGCACCTGGTGAGCTCCACGTGCATCTCCAGCAGGTCTTTGGTGCCAGCAGAGGGGGACCTGCCCTGTGCAGCCTCAGACCAGTGGCCCCCAAGGGACACTGCCAGCGTGGGGGTGACACAGCTGGAGCTGGGCTGTACCTGCAGAGCTGTGCTGTGCCCAGGGCACTTGGCTTGGCAGACAACATCCAAATTCCCATCTCTAAAATCAGGCCAAGAGCCCAGCCCTGCCCAGATTAGAGGGTAAGGGCTCCAAAGTGGGAAGTGTTTTAGAGTCCCAAGCCTTGGGAACATGGTCAGGCAGGTTCTGATAGAGCCAGGGATGAAATCCAAGGGGAAAAAACCTGCAGCCAGCCTGGTGAGCAGTGGCAAAGCCACTTGAGCAGCCAGCTCGAGCATCTGCCACCCCTCGTACCTGTGGCAGGAGGAGACAGAGTCAGGCAGGGGCTGGGAGCTCTGGGGAGAGAGGGAATTGTGAGAATTGAGAGAAGATTCATCCCCAGAACCAACCTGTGCTGAAAATACTCGGTGACTAATTTTATGCCTTTCTGATTGCCTTTTAACTGTGAGTTATTAAAAACGGGGAGAAGGGAGATGGTGTCCTGGTGGGAGGAGAAGTGAGCGTTGCCATGGCAGTGAGGGGATGCTGCAGCACAGCCCGGACCACAATTCGTGAGGACAGAGGCTAGGGGACAGCCCGGGAAGCCAGGGAAGAGGGGCTGTGCCATCCAGCCGAGTCCAAAGTCACTCTTTGGCCTGGACGCTGCTCCGGTGCCCTCCCCTGCTCTCCCAGCTCTCCTGCTCTCCCAGCCGGATCGGGTTTCCCCCTCCCAGAGCTCACCCCGTCCCAGAGACGCTTTTGTCAGGCTCAGGGCACGGAAGAAGCCGGGATTTGGGGGGGTTCAAGAGATTAGGAAAGAATTTGCCTCCGGGAATCTCTTTCCTCCATCTGCCCGGGATAAATCGTGCGATGGAGGTGGAGGCTTTGCAGCTCCACGGGGAACTGCTCCGAGCGACACGTGTGGAGGCAAAAACGCTGCCGGCCCCTCCCCGCTGCGGGAACGGGGTGTTGAAAGGTCCTAGGAATGGTGAGGAGAGCTCTCTATCCTCTGGCTCCATGTAAGGATGAGGTGGGAGGGTGTTTTGCCGGAGCTCTGCGAGTGCAGACGGTGCCGGTTCAGCCCCTGGCATCATTCCTGGAAGGACCAGCTCACCCACGGGAGGCAGGAACAAACCTGGGGGCAGCCTGGCAAACGTGATTAACTGGGAGGAAAAGGGATTTTATTTGGCCCCTTTATGATTTTCTTCTTTCATCACCTCCCTATAAAGCAAATGCCACGGCAGTGAACAGCTCCGACCCTGCTGGAATGGGAATGCAAGCGGGAAAGCTCTCCGGAGGGTGTGCCCACCGCTGGGGGGGCTGTGTGCAGCCCCATCCCTCCTCCATCCACCCGGCTCATGGATCCTCCCTCCGTGTGCTCAGTCCTGTCCCTGGGGAGGGGGCAAATCCCTGCCCTGGGGAGCAGAGGCTGCTCCTGAGCCCCTAAAGCAGGACCTGGATCCAGCCTCACCTGGGCTGGTTTATTCCTCCTTTAGGTCTTGCTAAAGAAAAATGTCAAGACTGCAGGTGGGAAATGTTACAATTTCAGGGACTTGGGGGTTTTTGAGCCTGAAGCCTCTCCATAAGAGCAACGTCCTCAAAGTGGGATGTGCCAGACTGGTCCCAGGCATTGCTGCACCACATCCCTGCACAGGAGCTCCTGTCTGAGGCTGTTCCTGCCCGTGCTGAGCTGGGGACTCGGGATAACCCCCACAGGCAGGGCCAGAGCTCCAGGGTCTTTGGCTGCTCTCCAGATGGGATTCTTCATGTCCTCCCTGTATCCTGGGGTGGGTGGGATGGGACATCCCCGCTCCCACCAGCCCAGGAGGTGCCTGTGGCTGTGACAGGGCTCCTGGGGACAGGAACAGGGACATCAGAGGGGTGGGAGGGCAGTGGACTTAGCCAAACACTGAAAAATGGGATTTTCACTGGAGTTGTCTGAGCACTGCTGCCCCCAGAGGGATTTCTTGTCTTCTCTCCTTACCTGTGCCTAGCTCCACCTCTGCACTCCAGCGCCCATCATCCATCCATCATCCATCCATCTATCATCCATCCATCCATCCATCCCTCCGTCCATCCATCCATCCATCATCCATCCCTCCATCCATCCATCCCTCCATCCATCCATCCCTCCATCCATCCATCCCTCCATCCATCCATCCCTCCATCCATCCATCCCTCCATCCATCCATCCCTCCATCCATCCATCCCTCCATCCATCCATCCCTCCATCCATCCATCCCTCCATCCATCCATCCCTCCATCCATCCATCCCTCCATCCATCCATCCCTCCATCCATCCATCCCTCCATCCATCCATCCCTCCATCCATCCATCCCTCCATCCATCCATCCCTCCATCCATCCATCCCTCCATCCATCCATCCATCCATCCCTCATCCATCCACCCATCATCCATCTCCATCCATCCATCCATCCATCCATCATCCATCCATCCATCCATCCATCCATCCATCCATCATCCATCCATCCATCCATCCATCCATCCATCCATCATCCATCCATCCATCCATCCATCCATCCATCCATCCATCCCTCCATCCCTCCCACAGCTGGCTCAGTCACCCGGGGCCGGGGCTCTGTCCCCTCCCCGTGCTCTCCGGGAGTGTCACAGAGGGACAGTCCCCTCTCAGGTGCCCCGAGAGCCGCAGCCCGTGCCCGGGGCAGCCCCTGCGCTCGGGGCCGGGGCCGAGCTGCCTTTTGTGGCGCTCGGGCCCCGGTGATTGGGCGCTATTTTGCTCCGGTCCCTCGGGCAGCTGTTGCTGTTCTTTACCCGGGAGAGCCGGCGCCGCCCGGGGCTGCAGCCGAGGAGGAGGCGGCGGCCGACCCCAGGTACGGATTTCTGTGCCTTTGAAGCCCCGATGTGGGGCAGCCCCCGGGCAGCCCTGGGCACAGCCCGGCTCTCCGTGGCCGCGAGGGAGCGGGAGCCGCGGGGCTCATCCCCGGGCGAGGGTGACAGGGAGAGCGGGGCAGGCGAGGGACTATTTTTGGAAGTTTCTTTGACGTGAGTCAGCGGTGAAGGCGACCTCGGGAGCCCGTGCAGGAGGAGTCCCAGCGGCAGCAGAGCGGAGCTGATTATTTGTTAAGTGCCTGCGATTTTGAGCCTTTACGGGCGGACCTGGCGTGCGGGGCGCGGAGAGGGATAATCCTCCGGAGAGGGATGGGCGGGCAGGAGGGAGGGAGAGCGGGAGGGATGGATGGATGGATGGATGGATGGATGGATGGATGGGGACGGGAGCTCTCCTGGGCAGGGGCACGGCAAGCAAGGACTTGGGGGCTGCGGGTGACCAGCGCTGCTATGGGCAAAGTGTCCCTGGCATTGGTGACCACCCCTGGCATTGGTGGCACCCCTGGCACTGTGGCCATTCCTGCCCTGCTTGGCCTGGCAGTGCCTGTGCCTGGATCACCAGCCCAGCACGGCTGTTCCTGCAGGTGACACGGCCCATCCTGCCTGGGGACAAGGACTGTGGAGCCCCGGAGTGCATCCACCTCCTGCCAGGGCACGGAGACCCATCTCCTGCCCTGCCCAGACCTGGACATGGGTCTGGTCAGCTCTGGGGCCGAGTTAATGCCTTTGGGGCACACGGCAGAGAAGGAGACCTGCCTGCCCCCAGGTCTGTTTGGGCTCCTCCTTCAGGGTGAAGCCCAAGGGGTGGAGGCGTGGAAAGAGCCTGGCACTCTGTGACAGGGCACCGGGCTCAGCTGAGGTCTGGGCAGCCCAGCAGGGGTGTGCTGTGGGCACAGTGTTTGATCCCTCTCAGTTTGGTGATGGTCTCTCGAGGTGCCACTGTCCCTGTGCAGCATTGGAGAAAGATTGGGGATGCCCTGAGGGCACCTAAGGGCTCTGCAGGTGGGCAGGGAGAGCTCAGAGGTGGCCAGGGAAGGACAGGAGAAGAGGTTCCTTGTTCTCACCGTGAGCCATGGCCACTGGTGTGGTGTGTGAGACTCTGCAGGACACAGCTCAGCCTGGCAGAGATGGTTCTTTGTGGTGGTGTCACTTCACAGGGTGACCTCGGGCACTGAGGGGCACCTGTGTGACACCAGCTCCATGGGAGCATGGATCGTGGCCAGGGAGAAAGGAACAGGGGCTTGGGCCCTCCTGCACCTTCCTGGTGCTCATCTGTGCCCCAAACCAGGGTGAATGACTGAGAAGCTCAAAAACAGGGCAAGCACGTGGTGGGGAAACACTCTGAGGAAAAGTTCTCCACCTTTGTGCTTTCCCTGGGTCTGGAACCCCCCGGGCACCACGAGAGTCCTGGGGCAGCTCTGCCCCTTCCCAGCAGAGAAAGGACCAGACCTGCATCACTTAAACAAACACAGCTCATTTTGAAAGCAAAGACCTTTCAGATCATGGCCAAAAGGTTTCCTCCTATTTGTCTGTTCTGCTTCCAGCATTGAGTGGCAGGTTTCATCCTGGGAACTGCTATGTTTTTCTCAGTTTTCCACAGGAAGGAAATCTACTAAATCTGGCTCAAAGGGGGCAAAAATTCTTCCATCTGGGGAGGATGTGGCACCTGAGGCACTGGACTTGGAGATGCCAAGGGCTGAGGCCAGTGGTGCTGGGACCTTGTGGTGCCTTCCCACCCCTGCAGCTCCCCCAGGGCACAGAAACCCCCAGGACCCCAGAGCCCAAGCCCTCCCCAGCCCTTCCTCCTGTTCCTGGGGACTTTCAGTTTGCTCTGCCACTGCCCAGCTGGGAAAAGCCCTGAGAGTCCTCCCTGAGCTCCCTGGAGCTCCTTTTGGAGGTCTGGTTGCTCCATGGTAGCTGGGCCTTCTCCTGCTGCCAGGCTCTGGCCCTCCAGTGTCCAGCCTTGTGTTTTCGGGGTCTGAGCACACCCTGGGCTGTTGGTCCCCCCACGTGCCTTGGCAGGGAGGTCACTGTCCCTTTGGCTGCCACTCCCCTGGGATGTCCAGGCTGGTGACCTTTTGAGGCTCAGAGTCCCAGAGCTCCCACTGCACCCCCTTGATGCCTGGGGGGCTTTTTGCCTGACTTGGGACACCTCTGTCCATCCACGGGTGGCACGGGAACACCGACAGGGGAATCACGGCCAGATGTCCCCTCTCTGCAGGCTGGGCTGTCCCCAGGGGCCCACACCCCCAGCCCCTGGTGGCTCCCACCTGCCCAGATTTGTCACCTGAGGAGCTGAGCTGTGCTTGTCTGTGACAGATGCCAACGCTCCGGTGAGCAGCGACAGCCACGGGGACAGCGGCCGAGCCCATGTGAGTGCCTGGGGTCAGCGTGGGGGGGCCTGGGGGATCCCTGTGCCAGGGGAGGGCAGGGGGTGCTGGGGATGGATCCCTGTGCCAGGGGAGGGGACGGGGTGCCTGAGATGGATCCTTGTGCCAGGGGAGGGCAGGGAGTGCCTGGAATGGATCCCTGTGCCAGGGGAGGGCAGGGGGTGCCTGGGATGGATCCCTGTGCCAGAGGAAGGGAGGGGGTGCCAGGGCTGGATCCCTGTGCCAGGGGAGGGGATGGGGTGCCTGAGATGGATCCTTGTGCCAGGGGAGGGCAGGGAGTGCCTGGAATGGATCCCTGTGCCAGGGGAGGGCAGGGGGTGCTGGGGATGGATCCCTGTTCAGAAAAGGGGGTGTCCAAGAGATGGATCCCTGTGCCAGGGTAGGGAGTGCCAGGGATGGACCCTGTTCAGAGCAGAGGGTGCCAGGGATGGATCTCTGTGCCAGGGGAGGGCAGGGAGTGCCAGGGATGGATCCCTGTTCAAAGCAGGGTCTGCTGGGGATGGATCCCCATTCAGAGCAGGGTCTGCTGGGGATGGATCCCCATTCAGAGCAGGACAGGGGTGCCAGGGATGGATCCCTGTGCCGGTCAGGGGGCCGGGCTGGGGCTGTCCTGCAGTGACATTCCGCCCGGCAGGGTTGCAGCACGTCCATCCAGGTCCCCCCAGCTGTCGCTGTCACTGATCCGTGCCGGTGGGCAGCTCACTCCGGTGGCACCAGCGCCCAGCCCGGCCACCAGAGCCCCGCTCAGCCCCGAGCCCGGAGCAAGCGCGGCTCCCTCCGCTCCGCACCTGCCCTCAGCGGGTGCTGCAGCCCCTGCCCAGCCCCGGGGGGATCCCAAGCACAGCCTGGGGGCCCACCCGTGTGTTAACCGGGGCTAACTCGTGGCTAAACCCAGCTTAAATAACATAAAATACAGCCCAGTTTTTGGGCTGTTGAGGTGAACCCGCGCCCCAGGTGGTGCAGGTGGTGCCTGTGGCTGGGGCAGCCCCGGAGCAGCGTGTCCCTGTGCCCCCGGCCACGCTCCGCGTCCTCCCGCAGGGAATAGAGGAGGGCAGCAGGAGCCGGAGCAGCCCGAGGCACAGCCAGAGCCGGACATGCCAGAGCCAGCCCCGCTCGGCGGGGACAGGAAAGCGGCGGAGAAGAAGCGGGTGGAGAAGGTGGGAGCCAAGGGCAGCGCTGCCGGGCCGCCAGGTGGGTGTGTGGGAAAGCCCAGCCCGGCCCCAGGTGGCCACAGGGGCACAATCCCGTGTCACCGGCCAGCCCGGGAGGCGCTGTCTGGCCGTGGGAAGGGGAAATCAGTGGGGAAATCAGTGACACGGGGATGGAGATGGGGCTCCTCAGCCGCCTGCCAGATCCTCCTCCTCTTCCTCCTCTCCATCCTGCCCAGATTTGCTGCTGGAGGAGGAGCACGGGCAGTTTTTCCCAGCTTGATCGCCAGGATCCTCTAATGCCACCATGGCCCAAACCCCTCGATCTCAGCCCCCGGGACACTCTTGTCCCCACTCCTGCAGTGCCAACACGTGGTGGGAGCAACTCTTGTCCCTGTCCCTGTCCTGCCCCTCCCTGCCCCTGTCCCTGTTCCCTGGCCCTGTTCCCTGGCTCTCTTCCTGTCCCTGTCCCTGTCCTGTCCCTGTCCCTGTCCTGTCCCTGCCCCTGCCCTGAGCGGGCTCTGCAGGAGGATGTTAAGAGCTCTTCCCACCCCCCGCTCAGAGCCCTTTGCCTGTTCCCAGTTCCCTCCAGTAACATTTTTCCCTGGTGCCGCAGTCCCCAGGACGCTCCCCGTGCAGAGCAAGGCGGAGCCGCCCAGCCTGGACCCCGCGGAGGAGCCGCTGCTCTGGGAAGGGCTCACCCTCAACAAGTGCATCCTGGTGGCCTCCGTGGTCGCCCTGCTCAGCGTCACCTTCCAGGTGCTCCAAGGTGAGTGGGGAGGCGGCCGGAGCGGGCAGGGGGGGCCAGCCCGAGCTGCCACCTCCTGGCTGCTGTCCCCTCGTGTCTTGCAGCGCCATGCTCCAAGGAGGGACTCGCCCGCGGCCGGCAGGAGCCTCCGCCCGCTCCCATTGCCGGTGGGTCCGACCCTCCCCGATGCCCCGGGTCCAGCCTGAGGCAGGGCCACCTCCCTGGGAGCCCCTGGCTGGGACATCCCAGCAGGCGGCCTCATCCTGACAGTGCCTGTCCCTCTCTCCTCCCAGAGGTCGTGATCCCCAAGGTGGAGATCCCAGAGGCGGTGACAGCCCAGCCTGCGCCGCCGCCGGAGAGCAGCGCGGTGGAGGAGGATGATGATGATGAAGATGGTGACGATGACTATGACAGCGAAGCTGACAGCAACCTGGTACGGGGCAGGGTGGCACCTCCCGGGGCAGGGAGCCTCTTGTCCCCAGGGAGAGGGATGGAGAGGGGGCCCAGTCCCCTGGGCTGCATCACCATGGTCCCCTCTGTCCCCACAGGCAGAACCCTGGATCTTCAAGAAGTGGTTTGGCCGTGCAACACCAGAGGATGAGGACAAGGATGAAGACAAGGATGGGGACAAGGATGAGGATGGGGACAAGGATGAGGATGAGGACAAGGATGAAGAACCTGCAGATGTCCCCGAGGTGCCAATGGCTGTGACAGATGGGAAGAAGAGCCAGGAGAAGCAGGAGAATAAGGTGGAGGAGGAGGAGGAGGAGGAGAAGGAGGAAGAAAAGGAGGAGAAGCAGGAAGAAAAAGAGGAGAATGAGGAGGAGGATGAGGAGGAGGAGGAGAAAGACGACAAGAAGGAGGAGAAGAAGAAGGGCCGGGAAGGCCGTGCTGTCCATGTGGAGCGGAGCAGCCGGAGGGAGGCACGAGCCAAGGACAGGACAGCGGGGGACAAACCTGGCCGAGCCCCCAGGGCCCCCAGGGAAGCCGAGCAGCAGCCCCAGAAGAAGCGGGACCGGGAGAGGAAGGAGAGGAAGGAGAGACGGCGGGAGCGGGATGAGTCCCGGAGGGAGGGGTGGAGGGGCCGTCCCGGCAGGGCTGACGGCGGCCGGGAGAGCCCGAGGCGGGACTGGAAGCAGCCGAAGGGCAGGAAGCCCTGGGAGCCGGGCAGGGACGGCAGGGCCAGGGAGGGCAAGAGGCGCGACTGAGGCCGGGGTGGGCGCGGGGCTCGATGGCGCTGGATCCAATCCCACCCCTGCCCCCGGCGAGGGACGCCACCCCTGCCTGCCCTCCAGAGACACCCCCGGGCACGAGCAGCACGCCAGGACCCCCGAGCAGCAGCAGAGCAGCCCAGGAGCCTGGCATGAGCCTCCCCGGGGACTTTGGACCCCCCTGGATCAAAGGTGACCTGAAAGGACTCATGGAAGGAGCTTCTCTGGGCCTCCTGCCTTCTCCATCCCCACCCAGAGCCCCTCTGCATTCCCCTCCACTCGTGGCTCCGGGGCAGTGCGGGGATCCCCGTGAACAGAGTTGTGTCCAGACTGTGCAGCTCTTGGGTTAATGGTTTTATTGAAAGCAAATCAAGAGAGAAGAATGTTCTGGGTTACGGAACCACGCTGCAGCCGTCCTCAGAGGGACATCAGTGACAGCCCCCCACCTCACCCAGCCCAGCGCCATCGCTGTGGGGTGGCCCAGAAGGTGCTGGTGACAGAGCAGGGCTGGAGCCCTTCAGCCAGGGATCCCTGCGGGCCTCGCCTTCTCCGAGTCGCTTTTAGGAAGGAAACACAAGAGCAATATCACACAGCCAGAGATGTTCACAGCCCTGACCCGTGGCAGGTTTCAGTATTTGCTAAATCAACAGTGGTTAAAATAAACTATTTTCATTTTTAATAAGGTATTCAACTGGATGTTTTTAAAAAACAGGGGGGAAAAAAAGGAAAACGAGAAAAGCCCTTATCCCTGGTTATGTGTTTTGTCCCTGGTTATGTGTGTGTGTGTTTTCAGGGTTAATCCTGAGGTGGGACTGGTGGGTACCAACCTCCAGCCGTGCCTCCACACTGCAAAACCCGAGGAGGTGTAGCCAGGACAAGCCCAGGAGCTGCTCCCGAGGGTTTGGCCCCCCGGCTGAGGGCCAGGCTCCGCTGGAAGATGATCTGGGGCAGGCAGCCCGTGCTGACGCCGGCGGGGACACGGAGCAGGTGCTCTGGCAGCCGTTTGCTCCCGCTCCCATTAATGGTGTGAGCAGCCCGGGGGTGTAACGGGATCGCTCCCTCCCTCCTGCCCTGGCCCCGGCAGCGGGGTCACCGCGGGGTGACGCAGATGTGACCAAGGCACGGCCAGCGGCTCCTCGCGGCTCACACAGAGCCGTGGCCCAGGGCAGGGCAGGTCCCTGCGAGGGGATCTGGCCTCTTGCTCTGCTGTCACAGGTGGGGGTCCTGCGATGGGCCGTGGGCTGGGGAACGGCCAGAGGATGCTGCAAGGCTTGGGGGAAGCAGCAGCCGCCCTTCCCAGCCACTACAGGAGTAGAGAGTGAGGGATAAACAAGAACAAGGTCCTGCCTGGATCTGCCAAGCCCTGTCCTCCCTCATGGCCCTGCCGTGCCCGTACCCGGCCGAGCCCGCGGGCACCTCGGGCACCCTCAGCAGCGGGAGGGAAACACCCCCAGAGGAGCACGGAGCAGCCCCAGGGACAGGCATGGGTGAACCCAGAACCAGAGCGATGCTAACGAGGCAAACCACGGGGAAAGGACACACGGGAGCTCCCGTCTCGGGAGAAGCACCAGATCCCGAGCCGGGAGGGCAAACCGGGAGAGGGGCTGGGGTGGGGCGGGCGGCGAGGCCGGCGGGAGCCTCACCGGCAGCCGCACTCCTCTGCCACCATGTTGGGGAACTTGCGGATCTCCAGCCCGTCCGAGGAGAGGCTGATGATGAGCTGGTCCGAGTAGCGCACGGGCACGCAGCAGGGAGCCCTGCGCAGCGGCGAGCCCTGGTCCTGCATGCCCAGCAGCAGCACCGTGTGCGAGAAGTAGCTGGGGATGCGTGCGGACAGCGGCAGCCGGCAGGGCCCCTCGCAGTTGTTGGCCGCGTACATGGTGGGCATGATGACGAAGTGGCGGTCGCGCAGGTCGATGGTGAGCTCCTGCAGCCGGCAGTGCGCCTGGTGCCGAGCGCTGCGGTTCTGCCGCTGCACCTTCCTGCGCTCCTGCCAGCGCGCCCGCACCGACTGCAGCGCCTTCAGCAGCAGCAGCGTGCGCAGCTTCCGAGAGCCCGGGCCCCGCTCGGCCGCCTCGGCCTGCCCCGGCTCCGCCGGGTAGTAGCAGAAGGTCAGGAGGTGCTGGAAAAGCGCCGCGTTGGCTTGGAAAGCCGGGATGTCCCTGAGCTCCTGGATGACCAGCTGCAGTTTGCCCATCAGCAGCTGCAGCACGGTGCCCTCCGGCTGCCAGTCCCCCAGGTGCTGCTCCAGCGCGGCCCCGCTGTCCTGGGCCAGCAGCAGCACCGAGGGCTCCTCCGACTGCACCAGCCGCTCCAGCGCCGCCTCCTCCGACAGGTTGAGCAGCTGGTGAGGGAGGGTCTCCATCATCTCGAAGTCCAGCCGGTGGTGGGCAGTGGGCTGGGGGGGCGGCTCGCTGGAGGAGCTCAGGAGCTGCCGGATGAAGCGGCTCAGGGTTGCCAGGAACTGGGCGCTGCCACCGGGCACTGGGGACGAGGTGTTGGCTTGGCCCGGGGCAGTGGGGGTCGGCAGCTCCTCGGTGCCAGCCTGGGGCGGGCTGTAAGGAGAACAGAGGGACAGTCACAGGGGGCAGCCCGGGGGTCCCACCAGGCTGTGCCCTACAGCCATCCCTGCTCCCACAGCTCGGGCTGCCCCTGTCCCACTTCCTCTGCCAGCCCCCGCGTTCTCCCGTGTGTGCAGCCACGGCCACGGACCTGAGCTGGGGGTACGGAGCCGTGTCCACCACGCCCTCAGCAGAGAGGTAGGAGGATGGGGTCAAAGCTTCCTCTTCCTCCTCTTCCTCCTCCTGCTGCCGTGACTTGGCCAGCAGCAGCAGCACCGGGGTCATCCGGGTGAAACATTTGTCATCGGAGCCGAACAGGAGCTGCTGCACCTCCGTGCGGGGCAGGGGGGCACCTGCTGCGGCCGCGAGAGGGGAGGACGTCGGTCTGGGGTCTCCTGCATGTCCCCACCAGCTCTCGCGGGCCTGAGAGGACCCCAAAGGCCCCAGCGAGGACACGAGGGCAGGGGTGCTGCTGTCCCCAGGCTGTCCCCCCGTCCCTACCTCCCGCGCCGCCGTGGATGGCCAGGGAAGCCGAGAAGCGGAGCCGCTCCGCGCTGCGGGTGACCGAGGCTGCGGCGGCTGCCAGGGCCAGGTACTGCGTGTCCCTGGAGAGGCAGAGCCTCTGCACCGAGGCAGAAAGCACAGAAGGCCCGAGGGAGTGAGTGAGACATCACGGGGGACACACTCACGGGAGTCCCCGCTCCGGCTCACGCAGCCCGCGGTGGCCCAGGGAGCAGCGACAGGGAGGCTGGGGACCACTGGGAGCTTCGCCCCCGGCCCCAGAGCTGCTCCGGGGGCTGCGGGGAGCAGGGAAAGCAGGGAGCCCCCGAGGGGCAGGCGGGGGATCAGGACCCCAGCCCGGGCTGGTACCGGGGCAGCCCCGCTGGCGCTGCCGCAGCTGCGGACAGAGTCAGAGCTCCATCTGCAGGCACGGCGGGAGCGGGAGACCGGGCAGAGCTGCTGGGAGGGGACGGCAAAGGGACTGGGAGGGGTGGCCGAGGGACTGGAAGGGTGACAAAGGGGCTGGGAGGGGATTGTGAATGGATTGGGAGGGGACGGTGAATGGACTGGGAGGAACGATGAATGAATTGGGAGGGGATAACAGAGGGAGCTGGAGGGGCTGTTGAATGGACTGGGAGGGATGACAGTGGCACGGGGCAGCAGAGCCGGGACACCCCCTGCTCCCCCCAAGGCCCGGACCCACCTGGTCCCGCGGCAGCCCCGCGCCGGCGGCCAGCAGCTCCCGCGGGTGCCCGGAGCCCCGGCCCTCCCGGCGGCCCAGGTAGAAGAGCATCACGGCCGCCTGCAGCTCTCCCACAGCCCGTCCCACCTCCTCCTGGAAAACCAGCTGGAACCGCAGCTTCACCTGCGCCTCCCACTGCACTGGAACGGGGAGACACGGCCGTGAATCCCCTCCGGCGCCGCGGGGCTCCGGGGATGGGGAAGGGGCTCCGGGCCGAGCACTGTCCCCGTGAAGGGACCGGGGCACCGGGACAGGAGCCGGGGAGAAGGGACACAGCAAATCCCGTCCCCGGCTCCAGGGAGGTGAGGAGCGGGGCACACCCCGCACCCGGCGCTGCCTCCCCCAGACCCCACGGAAATCTGCTCTCAGTGGCTCGGGGCGCTGTGCCCCCCGCCCGGGGAGGAGCCACTTCCCCGCTGCCCGGCACTGCTGAGTCCAGCTGAAAACCCAAAGCCCAGGAGAGGCGGAAGATTCCAGGACGAAAGAAACAATCACAGCCCTCTCCTTACGGATGGAGTTGGAGGCTGTAACTCCGTCCCTCTCCAGGAGCGGGATCGGCCCCGGGATGGGACAGGGGAATGTGTGGTGAGGTTTTCCCATAAGGCTGAAGCTACAGGAGCAGCCCAGGACCCCGGGCTGCTCCACAGCCCCAGGAGTGGAGATCAGCGCGTCCCGGGCTCCCGGCACAGCAGGAGCAGCTGGGTCCGAGCCCCTCCTTTCTCCCCAGAGCTGGGATGGGACCCAAACCCACCTGCCGTGTGAAGGCAGAAGGTGAGAAACACTCATGAGAGCAGAGCGGAAGCCACCAAGAATCATAGAATATCCTGAGCTGGAAGGGACCCTCAAGAATCACCAGTCCCACCCCTGGCCCTGCACAGACACCCCGACAATCCCACCCTGTGCTCCCCTGAGAGCTGCTAGAATGTGCCACTGGGTGTTGGTCAGAGGCGGGGACAGATGGCAGAGCCACGCTGCCATCCTCCCCTCCTTAAAAACATGCCCAGAAACATTTCACTCCATCACTTTGCTGTTTTTAAAGGGAACCCAATACCCCAAATATAATTCTGTGTTTAAATCCCTGACTTGGGGCCAGCAAACACCACCACCCCGAGCCCTGCATCCTTCCCCTCCCTGTTCCACCTCGGAGCCCTCAGGGCTCTCCCACCAACCTTCCTCCAGGTGCAGCACGAGGAATCTCTCCAGCCCGGGCTCCAGGACGTGCTCGTGGATCCTCTGCAGGGGATGGGGAGCAGCCCCCGCCTCCCCGGGCCGGCACAGCCCGAAGGTCCCCGCCAAGCTCCCGTCCCAGCTCCGGCGCCGTCTCAGCAGTTTGATGAAGCTGCTCTCGTAGTGGCTGAGCACACCCACCACCTCCAGCTGCCTGGGGCTGGCCCCGTCCTGCTCCATCCTCACCCTGCACACGGGCCCTTCCAGGCCCCCCAGGGGCCAGGGCTGCGGGCTGGAGCGGGACCAGCCCGGGCCCCCCTCCTCAGCCACTCCCTGCGGGCATTCGGCTCCCGGCTCAGCCTTGGAGAAGAGGCGAGGGGCAGCAGCCCTCCTGGACCTGGCTGTCTCCTGTGAACTTCCATTTCCCACCTTCCTCCCTTCTGCTCCCAGCCCCGGCTCCTCCAGCAGGCTCAGCCCCACCAGGGAATCCCTTCCCTGTTTCCTGGGCAGAGCTGCCGAGGGCAGCAGCAGCACCAGGCACAGCAGGAGCCCCCCGAGAGCGCTCATGGTCCCACCTCAGCTCTCCCGGAGCAGCTGAGGATCCCAAGCCCTCGGCAGGAAGAGGGAGGACAGCTCTCCCTTTTAACCACGGGTGGCCTTGAGTGGCCGAGGCACAACAACCTCCCCTGAGCCGCCCCGGGGCTGTCGCGCTGCAGAGGAGCGAGGGAGGTGGCAAAGAAACTTTTTTTGTTCTATTTTTGGGGCTGCAGCTCGTTTTGGAAACGTGCAAAGATCGAAGCTGTTGCACTCGCTCGTAGGGATGCACGGCCTTGACTTTGGATGTTTTCTAAAGGAGGATGAGTGTCTGGAATGGGATCCTCATGGGGACTGGCACGTACGACCCCATCAGCACTGAAACACCGGGAGGGGAGAGCAAGCCAGAGCAGGAGGAGGGGGACAGGGGCAGATAATGGGCTGAAATAAGTAAATGTATGGAAAGCATTCCTTCTTCTGGCTGGAAAACCTTCACCCTGCAGCTCAACAGGCTGCCCTGGAAAAGGGCTTCATCCTGGGAATGAGAAACACGAGGGGCAGCAGCAGCCTGAGGACTTTGAGCCCTCAGCACCTCCTTCAGAAAGTCTCACACACACAGCATTGTAAAGACTTTTCCCTCCATGAGATGCCCAGACCCACTGGGACAGCTGGAATTGCCAAAGCCACCTGCCTAAACCATCCTGGAAACCTGTCCCAAGAGATCTCCTGATTTTGGCAGGGGAAATGTCCCGACAAAAAAGTTCCAGACCCTTCCCTGAGTTTCCAAGTATTTGCAGTCTGGAGCTCAGGATGGAGCACCCAAACTGGAGCAGGACATGGACACAGAGAGGCCTGGAGGAGTCTGAGGTCACTTCTACAGGGGCTGACAAAGGCCAGGGAGCTGCTCCAGGGCTGGAGCCAGGCTGGCAGAGCTGGGGCTGCTCCCCTGGACAAGAGAAGGCTCCAGGCAGAGCTCAGAGCCCCTGGCAGGGCCTGAAGGGGCTCCAGGAGAGCTGCAGAGGGACTGGGGACAAGGCCTGCAGGGACAGGAGCCAGGGAATGGCTCCCAGTGCCACAAGGCAGGGCTGGATGGGAGATTGGGCAGGAATTGTTCCCTGGCAGGGTGGGCAGGCCCTGGCTTGGGGTGCCCAGAGCAGCTGTGGCTGCCCCTGGATCCCTGGCAGTGCCCAAGGCCAGGCTGGGCAGGGCTGGGAGCAGCCTGGGACAGTGGGAGGTGTCCCTGCCATGGCAGGGCTGGCACTGGATGGGCTTTGAGTCCCTCCCTATCAAACCAGTCTGGGGTTTTTAACTGACTGGGACCATCTCATCCCAGCAGCAGAGAGGAAGGCTTTGATCCCACATCAAGGGGGTGCAGCCAGGGCTCCCATGGCCCCTCAAACAACCAGAACTGGCCAGGAACCCCAGCCCTGGCCATGCCCTCACCCACTGAGCCCCCCAGGATCCCCCACGGACCCCCAGTTCAGGGCAGGAGCCTGGGAAAGGGCAGAGAAATGGCAGAGCTGCTGGTGCTTTGTTATGGGAACCAAGTGACTGGAAGGAAACATTCAGGATAAAAAAACCCACAGAGAACTAAAAACTTGCCTGAACAGAGCTGTCAGTGGGAGGAGGGCACACAATAAAATCATGTGACAGCAGGTGCTACACCTTGGTACTGACACTTAATGAATTATAATAATAAATTAAGATTTAATATCAGCAACAGGAGCCTTTCCATGTCCCTCCTCAGTGAATGAACAGAGATGAAAGGCTTTGGTTGAATCAAAACTGATTAATGGGGGGTAATTAATGGGACACTCATCAGGCAGCCTGAGGGGGATTCCTCAGGCCAAGACAGCTGATGGAGGGGGTGCCTTGAGATTCCCAATCCTTTGCCTCCTCTTTGGAGAATTTCCAAAACGTCACCAGCCCGGGAATGTCTCCAGTATCTAAGGGGTAAGGAAAGTGAGCCCACAGCAGCACAGGAAACCAGGGGGAAAGGAGAATGCAAAACCTTTTAATGAGCCTACAGAACTCAGCCAGCTTTCCAGAGGTACAAAAAGGATCTGTTCCCTGAATGGGGGGGGAGCTGCAGTTAAAAAGACCCAAATGCCACGGGATGGAGCCCGGGAGGGGCTTCAGTTGGAGGGAGGGGGCGGGGGGATGGTGCCCGGCCCCTCGGTGGGGAGCGGCGGCCGCATCAGGGCAGCCCGTTCATCAGGGGAGGGGGCGGCGGCCGCTTGACGGTCGGGGGCCCTGGGGGGAGGTTCGGGGGGGCCGGGGGCTTCTCCATCTTGAAGTGGAACTGAAGGAAGAACTGGGAATGGAGAGAAAAGGGAACAGTTAATCAGGGATTGACAGAATCCCGGAGTATCCTGAGCTGGGATCATTGATCCAGCCCCTGTCCCTGCCCAACCACCCCAACAGCCCCACCCTGAGGGCTCCTGGAGCTCTGGCAGCCTTGGCACCATTCCCTGGGCAGCCTGGGCAGTGCCAGCACCCTGGTGACAGCTCTGCCAGCACCCAGGAGCTGCTCTCTGCCCCAGAGCACAGCTCAGGCCCCTCCTGTCACCCTCAGATGTCCCAGTCCTGGCAGCATCTGTGACTGGTGCCAGCCTTGCCCCAGATTTTAACTCCTGGACTCAGCACCGAGGGTCCTGTGAGGGGTGGGAGCCCCCCAGGCACTGTCCCCTGGATAGAGGGGAGCCCCCCCAGCCCCAGGCTCCCTCAGGCAGGTGTGTGCTGTGCAGGGAACACAGGGCACAGAGCCATGGCGAGGACACAGTGCTGCACATTTCTCATGGAATCATTAGGCTGGGAAAAGCCAAACCTAACCCTAAGATCAACAAGTCCAGCCAGCAGCCCAGCAGCACCACCACATTCACCAGTAAACCACATCCACATGTTTTTGAGCACTTCCAGGGGTGGTGACTTCACCACTGCCCTGGGCAGCCCCCTCCAATGCCTGACAATGCTTTCAGTGAAGGAATTTTCCCAATATCCAACCTAAACCTCCCCTGGCACAGCCTGAGGCCATTCCCTCTGGTCTCTTCTCCTGCTCCCTGGGAGCAGAGCCTGACTCCCCTCTGAGTGCACCCTCCTGTCAGGGAGCTGTAAGAGCAAGAAGGTTCCCCTGAGCCTCCTTTTCTCTGGGTATTGATGCCCCATCCTGCAGTTGCTGCTGCCAGAAACTGAATCCTCTCCAAGATCCCACACAGGAGGATCTCTGTCAGCTCTCCCTGCACAGGTGCACTGAGGGAATGGAGATTTGAACAGCAGGACAGAACTGATGTTACTCTCCCAAGTTGCTCTGCTCTCCTTAAGGACAGACATGACAAAACCTCAGTTACCTGTTTGGTTTCTCTGTTCCAGTGGGTCCAAAACTTTCCCTCTGCTTTATCAATTTCTCTGCTTGGCACCTGCACCAAAAGAGAACACAGAGCTATTCTTAGCAGCACCAGATTAGCTCAAAGGCTCTTTTTAGCCCCAGAGCCTGAGAGATAAGCACAGTTATTCCAGGCCTTGCAGGGTTGTTATTAGACAGAGGTGGGGGCAGGAAAGAATTAAGTTACTTCCCTATCGGTCAAGGACAAGCAGCAAAAATCCCTCCCTGAACATCTGCACAGAGGCTGAGGAGCCCAGGAGGCTCCTGTCTGTGCCAGACACTGGGAATTCACAGCTCCCCAGGGCTCAGCACAGTCTGCTTTTCATGCCAGAGTCCTCCACCAAACCTCAGTGGGGTTTAATAACTTCCAGCCATGTCTTCCTGACCCCCCCCTTCCACTCCATTAACCCCTGAGGGTTAGCACAGACATCAGAGAGTTCATTAGGAATTAATTACAGAATATCCTGAGCTGGGATGCTCAGGGCAGCCCCTGGCCCTGCACAGCCACCCCAACAGCCCCACCCTGAGCAGCCCTGGCAGGGCCTGGCAAAGGCAGGAAGGGAATGCTCCCAGCTTTCCCAGGATTCCTCTCTGTCTTAGGCTGGAAATGGGGGTGCGTATTCTATTTGCCATCTGTCAGAGCTGGGGCAGTTCTCTGCTGTTCATGGGGCAGTTTTCTTTATCTCTCCCACACCCAACCCTCCCTCCAGGAGATCTCTGCTGTCCATGGCCACTGAGTGTCCCTGCAGGGCTGATCAAATTCCATCCTCCCATGGGGAGATGCTGCGCCCAGGGCAGGAGCCAAGCATTCCTACCTGGATACAATCTGAGCCTGGAACACCCCAGCAGCCTTTGCCCACTGCATTCCCAGAGGAGCAGCTTTCTCCTGCCCTGCATTCCCAGAGGAAGAGCAGGCCCATCTCCAGCAGCCCTGGAGCTGCAGAGGAAAACTCCCCCCTTGTGCAGGATCCCTGCTCCAGCAGAAGCACAGCTGGCACTGCAGGAGGGCTGAGCCCCCATGGGATGGGGCTGTGCCACCACCCTGACCCACAGGGGGTCAGGGCATATTCTGACTCTAGCAGTAGGTTTTTTTTGTTTGTACTATTACATTTGTATTTTCAGTTCTCCCAGTAAAGAACTGTTATTCCTGCTCCCACATCTTTGCCCGAGAGCCCCTTAATTTCAAAATTATAACTCAGAAGGAGGGGGTTTACATTTCCCGTTTCAGGGCAGACTCCTGCCTTCCTTAGCCCACCCCTGTCCTGCCAGACCCAGCAGTGTGGCAGGCTCCCTGCCAGGTCCCACCTTGAAGGCGATGGTCTCGTAGGGCTCTGCTGCCATCAGCAGGTACTGCCAGCGCCGGTCCGGGGGCTCGATGCGCTGCTCGTAGGCCGACATGAAGCGGTGCCGGGGCATGATGCTCTCAGCTATCTCAGGGTAATCGATCTGGGGGGGCAGGGCAGCTTCAGCAACCCCCCCTCTGCACCCCCAGCTCTGCTCCAAACACACCCCGCAGTGTGGAGCACACCCAGAGCAAGCCACAATGCAAAACGCTCCTTTCGTCCCAGAATGGTTTGGGATTGAAGACCCCAAACTGAATTAGGGGAAATTTAGGAGAGATGTTGGGATGGAATTGTTCCCTGTGAGGGTTGCGAGGCCCTGGCACAGGTTGTCCAGAGAAGCTGTGGCTGCTCCACCCCTGGAAATGTCCCAGGCCAGGGTCAGAGCAACCTGGTGTCAAGGAAGGTGTCCCTGCCCATTACGGGGGGATGGAAATAGATAATTTTTAAGGTCTCTTCCAGCCCAAACTATCCTGTGATTCTCAACTCATTCCACCTCAGACTCCACATTCCTCTCCCACTACACAGCCTGATAGCTGAGCTCAGGGATTTGCTCAACACAATCAGCTGCAGCAACTAGGAACATAAGGCTTCCTTTTTATTATTGATTTCATGGATCCTGCAAAGGACTGCTCATTTAGCAGCAGTGTTACCTGGAAAACCCTGACAAGGAGAGTTTCAACCCTGCCCTTACCTGGAAGAGAAGACTCTGCTGGCCTGTTTCTGGGTCTCTCTGTTTGGTCACTGTAAAAATAAAAATACATATATATATAAGAGAGCTGAGAACATGCCCCAGCAGGGTGAGAGCAGCATTAATCTGCCCTGGGAAACACATAAAATTCCCAACAATTAAACATTACAAGATTTTTCTCCTGTTTATCAAACAAAATGTCACATTATCTTTAACCAAAGCTACTTCTGGGAGGGTGGGCAGGCCCTGGCTTGGGGTGCCCAGAGCAGCTGTGGCTGCCCCTGGATCCCTGGCAGTGCCCAAGGCCAGGCTGGGCAGGGCTGGGAGCAGCCTGGGACAGTGGGAGGTGTCCCTGCCATGGCAGGGCTGGCACTGGATGGGCTTTGAGGTCCCTTCCAACCCAAACCACTCTGGGACTGTGTCACTGCCATGGGCAGGTTTGGGCCCCTCACCCCAAGAAGGACATTGATGGGTTGGGGGTGTCCAGGGGAGAGAACAGAGCTGGGGAAGGGTCTGGAGCTCCAGGAGGGGCTGAGGGAGCTGGGAAGGGGCTCAGCCTGGAGAAAAGGAGGCTCAGGGGGACCTTGTGGCTCTGCACAGCTCCTGACAGGAGGGGACAGTTGGGGGTGTCAGGTTCTGCTGCCACGAGAGGAGGAGAGGGAACGACCTCAGGCTGGGCCAGATTTAGGTTGGATATTGGGAAAATTCCTTCCCTGAAAGGGCTGTAGAGCATTGGAAGGGGCTGTCCAGGAATCACCATCCCTGGATGCTAAAACACCTGTGGATGTGGCACCTGGGGACATGGTTTACTTGTGGCCTTAGCAGTGCTAAGTTTACTGTTGGACTCAATGATCTTAAAAGTATTTTCCAACCTAAATTATTCCATGATTCTCCTCTACTGAAGTTCAGCTGCTGTGGGGCAAAGCACTGATGAGACTAAAGAGCCAAATTTTGTACTGAAGGCCAAAAAACCCATGAAAAACAGAAAAAAAAACCTCCATGAGTTCTGTGAGGAGTGAGTGATTTACAGCATCAATGAAAGTTGCTGCAGCACAAGAGAAGGAGGAGATGAAATGCCATCATCTCCCTGGCAGCCTGAGACACACCCATCTATTATTGAAGTGGCTCTCCCTGCCTGTCAGCCATGAAGAGAAGTTCCACGAGCAATTTAAACAATAAAAAGACTCCAGGAAAGAGCTCATATCTTATTCATGGGCAGAGCAGCTCAAAAACTAATGAATAATTCACATCCCAGCCAGGCAGGCACTGCCCATCAGGGACCTCCTGGGCACCCCTGACTCACCTTTGTAGCCTGGGCGCCCAATCTTCACAAATTTCTTCACTTCCACTTTGACTTTCTCTGGGGCAGGCTGGGCAGGGGCTTCCTTGGCTTCCTTGGCAGCTCGTCGGGCCCTGGGGATTCATTTGGAATTTAAGGGTTACCTGCCCTTGTTTCCAAAGGAAACCCAGGAGCAGTTTGAATCCCTCAGCACAGCATTCCACAGGAATCATGCCAGGAAATCCTATTTCCCTTCCCCAGCTGTATCCATCCTCCCCCTAGCTAAAGGCTGTCACTCAACCATCTGATCCACCCTCACCATGACCTTGAGGCCAGGCTCCACAGATGGATTTGAGAAGACTTTAATTCTTGAAATCAAATTTAAAAAAAAGATAAAGAAAAATAATAAAGCCAAACCCACAGGTCAAGCAAAGCAAACTGGATTCCTTAAAACAAAACTAACAAACTTCTCCAAACCTGTACTGACAAATCCAAATCACAGAATCTTGGAATCTCCTGAGCTGGAAGGACCCACAGGGTTCATCAAATCCAACCCCTGGCCCTGCACAGACACCCCAGTCCCACCCTGAGCATCCCTGAGAGCACTGTCCAAATGTTCCTGGAGCTCTGGCAGGCAGAGGTCCTTCTAACTAGACTCAGACAATTTGCTTTTGAAACTCCATCTCCCTGTTCCTTCACCAATTTCACAACTGGCTCTAAACTTTAGCTTAAAATGGAGATTTTCAGCACCATTTTTCAAGCAGATCCAGGCTGTGCCTCCTGGCTGCATGAGGAACCACAGTAAAAGAACAATCAAGCAGAGTACAACAGAGTTAAAGGACTACAGACACCAAACAACATAATATTAAAGTACTTCAACAATGGAGAATAAAGTTATGGTAGAGGGTGACTTACAAATTGGTCTGATGCTTCTTCCCCTGGGTATGTGCTAAGTAACTCCCCTGAAATAAAAGCCAAGGTAGAAGTTAAATGAAGCCATGACTGAAGCATTCCTGTCACAGGGTGACTGCATCACTCCCTGACAAGGGTGTTTTAATCCTCAGCACAGAGAAATCTCACTCCAAAAGGGCAGATTGCTCTCAGCTGCTGAGCTGTCATATCATCTTGGGTTATAAGATATGTGTGTATTTTATTTCTTTTATGTTAGAAGTGGGGCAGTAATTTTTTGTTAACTGGGCAGTTTACTTTATCTCTTCTACAACTGATCTTCCCTCTGGGGAGACATCTTTTGTTAATGGGCTATTAAATAACTGCATAACTGATAAAATTACATCATCTCATTGAGAGATGTTCTGCTCTAAGTATTCTTACTTAGATATAATGTGAGATTTAGAACACTAGAAGTAGTCTTTCTGTACTAGATTCTAAGAAGAACAGCTTTCTTTTTTAGTAGATTCTCAGAAGACTAAGCTCATCTGCACTACTACTGAACCTTCAGAAGAAAACTACACTCCTCAACAAGTTCACAGTGCACACTGTGCCAGGCTTAACCACCTGTCCTAGACTGCAAGGCAATGTGTGTTCTGTTCCCATCTGTCAGAGGAGGGGCACATATCTCTGTTCATGGGGCAGTTTTCTTTATCTCTCCCACACCCAACCCTCCCTCCAGCAGATCTCTGCTGTCCATGGCCACTGAGTGTCCCTGCAGGGCTGATCAAATTCCATCCTCCCATGGGGAGATGCTGTGCCCAGGGCAGGAGCCAAGCATTCCTACCTGGATACAATCTGAGCCTGGAACACCCCAGCAGCCTCTGCCCACTGCATTCCCAGAGGAGCAGCTTTCTCCTGCCCTGCATTCCCAGAGGGAGAGCAGGCCCATCTCCAGCAGCCCTGGAGCTGCAGAGGAAAACTCCCCCCTTGTGCAGGATCCCTGCTCCAGCAGAAGCACAGCTGGCACTGCAGGAGGGCTGAGCCCCCATGGGATGGGGCTGTGCCACCACCCTGACACACAGGGGGCCAGGGCCTGCTCTGACTCTGGCAGGGTTGTTTTGTGTTACCGCATTGTTTATTTTATTTTTTATTTTCTTCCCTAATAAAGAACTGTTATTCTGCTCCCATATATTTGCCTGAGAGCCCCTTAATTTCAAATTTATAACAATTCACTGGGAGGGGTTTACATTTTCCATTTCAGGGGAAGCTGCTGCCTTCCTTAGTTCTTTTCAAACCAAGACACCTCCCCTCATGTCTCAGCAGTCACTGCCCAGGTGCTGAAGCTCCTGTTACTCCCAAGTGCTGCTGCTGGGATCAGGACAGGCAGGTGTTCCCCTCACCTCATTGTTGTGGAGCGTCAGGCAAAGCTTGCACTCGTAGGAGCCCAGATGATTTTTCATAAAATAGGGGTCCTGGGAAAAGAATGATGGACAAGTTATGAGCAAAATCCATGGGCCAAGCAGGAGAATAGCCAAAATACTGCAGAGTTCTACACTGGAGGAAGTGGTTCCTCCCCCCACAGGGAGCTGGCACTGCCCAGGGAATGGTCCCAGTCCAAGGGCAGAGCTGCAGGAGCGTTTGGACAGCGCTGCCAGGGCTGCTCAGGGTGGGGCTGTTGGGGTGGCTGTGAGGGACAGGGGCTGCCCTGAGCATCCCTGAGGGTCCCTCCCAGCTCAGGATATCCTAGGATTCTGCAGCTGAGTTCAGATTTTAAAATAACAGCACAAGAGAGCTTTAGAAGGAGGAAACAGAGAGAACCAACAGCAGCTGTGTGCATTGGTGACAGAATTCCCAACTGCACCAGGAAACACCACAACCCAAACCAGCCCTGGGGAGACTGGAAACAGATGGATACACAAGAGCTGGCACCTCCCTGTCACTCTGTCCCAAATATTCCTTATTCAATCCCCACATGCCCAGAAACAGAAGCATTTAAACCCAACCCAATCCTCAGCCTGGAGATGAGAAGGCTCTGGGGTGACCATGGAGCCTAAAGGAGCTCCAAGAGAGCTGGAGGGGAACCTTGGAAAAGGGGACAGAATAATGGGGAATGGCTTCAAATAGACCAAGAGTAGACTTAGATGGGATATTGGGAAGAAACTCTGGGCTGTGAGGGTGAGGAAGCCTTGGCATGGATTTCCCAGAGCAGCTGTGGCTGCCCCTGCATCCCCGAAAGCATCCAAGCCCAGGCTGGACGGGGCTTGGAGCAACCTGAGCTAGCTGCAGCTGTCCCTGGATGATCTTTAACACTCCTTTCAACCCAAATCAGGCCGTGAGCCCCGGCTGTGTCCCTGCACCTTGTTGATGTCGATGGTCTCCAGGGCCAGCTGCCGCAGGCGCTCCCGCCGGTCGCGGTTGCTCTCCGAGGCCGAGGCCACGCCGCCGCTGCCCGTTTTGCCCCCGGGGCGGTGCTGGAAATCCATGGCGGGGCTGTCTGCGCCTCAGCTCCTCCCCGAGAAACACACGGGCTGGGGGAAGGAAGGAGTGCCGTGATACTGAGCCACAGGACTGCTCGGGCCCAGCAGGGAGGGCGGGGGTGACAGCCCGGACACACACCACAGGATGCAATCCCACGTCTGGAACTCGGGGAAGCAGAGTGAAAGGATGCAGAAAATCCCCCTGGAGCCCTTCCCATCTCCCCAGCCACCCCCAAGCCCAGCTGGGCCCCAGTGATGCCAGGCAGCCCCACCAGAGGAGCCTCCCCCCCTCACTGAGGCACCCCCAGCCCCAGAGCTCGCCCCTCTCCACCACCAGCTCTGCTGCTCCCCCAGCACCCCAACACCCCCAGGGCCACCCCCCACCAGCCCCACGGCAGGGTCAGAGCCCCCCAACAAGGCCGGGGGCCCTGAGCAGTGTCCCCAAGCCCCAGGTGAGGCCCTGAAGTCCCCCCTGCCCTCAGCAAGGTCAGAGCCCTCCCCAAACCTCCCCACACAGAGCCCAAACACTGGAAAGGCCTTTAAGGAACCCCAAATCCTTCCCCACAGAGCACCCAGCTCTGCCAGTGCCTATCCCCCAGTCCCTCTCCTCTTGTCCTGATTCTCCTGTCAAGGTCCCCCAAACACCCCCAGTCCTGCTTCTCCTGATCCTCCCAGTCCTTCTCCCATTTTCCCTGTCCTGATTCTCCAGTACCCCAGTCCTCCCACCCAGTTCTCCCAGTTCCCCTCCAGCAGCTCCAGTCCTGATTCTGCAGCCAGGGGCCCCAGGTACCCCCAGTCCTGATGCTCCCAGTACCCCCAGTTTCTCACTTGTCATTCTCCAGTTCCCCCAGCCCCACCAGCCCAGTTCTCCTGGTCCCTCTCTTTTCCAGCTCCCTTGGCTTTCCAGCCCAGATTCTCCAGCACTCCCAGTCCTCCCACCCAGGGCACCCAGTTCCCCCAGTACTTTTCCAGTAACTCCATCCCAGTTCTGCACTCAGGGCCCCCCAGGTGTCCCTGCTCCTGCCCTGCTGATCCTCCCAGTATCCCAAACCCTGCCCGGGCCCTACCCCCAGTTTCCCACTCGTGATTCTCCCGTTCCCTCAGCCCCACCACCCAGGCTGCCAGCCCTCCCAGTCCCTCCACACCCAACACTCCCAGACCCTCCATACCCAGCACTCCCAGTCCCTCCTTCCCAACATTCCCAGTCCCTCCATACCCAACACTCCCAGTCCCTCCATACCCAGCTCTCCCAGTCCCTCCATACCCAGCTCTCCCAGTCCCTCCTCACCCAGCACTCCCGGTCTCTCCATACCCAGCCCTCCCAGTCCCTCCATGCCCAGCCCTCCCAGTCCCTCCTTCCCAGAATTCCCAGTCCCTCCACACCAGAACTTGAAATCCCTCCTTCCCAGCTCTCCCAGCCTCCCCTCACCCAGCTCTCCCGGTCTCTCCTCACCCGGCTCTCCCGGTTCCCAGCTCCAGTTTTCCCAGTCCTGCCCAGTTCCCCTCACGCTCCCCTCCCCCGCTCGGTACCTGCGCGCGGCCCCGCTCCCCTCAGCCCGGCGCATGCGCGCTCCCAGCCCGGCGCATGCGCGAGGGACTGGGAGAGAGAGGCTCGGGGCCCTGGATGGTGGGGCTGGGGGAACTGGGTGAGAAACTGCGGGCACTTGAGGGGCCCCGACTGCAGAATCGGAACTGGTGTTACTGGGGGGTGAGGCTGAGAGGGACGGGGGGGGCTGGGTGGGAGGATTGAGGGTGCTGGAGAATCCAGGCTGGGAACCCAGGGCAGCACTGGGAGCACTGGGCATAGGGGCAGGGCGGGGCTGGCTGTATTGGCTGGGCAGCACTGGGAGCACTGGGAACACTGGCACAGGCAGATGGCAGGGCTGGCGTGTGGGAATGGGGAGCACGAGGGGTGGGATGCAGTCTGGGTGTGGAGGGAGGTGCTGGGTTTAGGGAGACCCCCAGAGATCCCCCATTTCCAGGGGATCTGGGGAAGAAGCTCTTCCCTGAGATGTCCCAGCCTGCACACCAGCCCTGGGTGGGGCTGCCTCATCCTGAGCCTTTCCTGCTCTGGGCACCGGCTGCACTTTGTCCCCTGGAGGTGACAATGTGCTGGCAGCTCCTGGGCTCTGCAGCTTTCCCTGGAGTGCCTGAGGTGCTGCTGGGAGCTCTGCCTGCCCGGGGGCTGCTCTGGCACCCCGAGGCCACTTTGTCAGCCCAGGCAGAGTTTGGGGGGTGCTCTGGTGGGTCAGTGCCATGCTGGGGGCTGGCAGGGCTGGCAGGGTGCCCCTGTCCCCTGCCTCAGCCCTCTCGTGTCCCTGCAGTGCTGAAGAAGCGCCTGGTGAAGCTCGTGGTGAATTTTCTCTTCTACTTCCGCACCGATGAGGCCGAGGTAGGGCTTGGGCCCCTGGCTGGGGTCTGTTCCCCTCCTCCTTTCTTCCCTTTCTGTGCCTGGATTGTGTGGGCTGGGAAAATGGTGCAGGAGCTGGAACAGGGTCCAGCTTTCCTCTCCCACCTGCTCAGCAGGGCTCCAGGAGAGCTGCAGAGGGACTGGGGACAAGGCCTGCAGGGACAGGAGCCAGGGAATGGCTGCCAGTGCCACAGGGCAGGGCTGGATGGGAGATTGGGCAGGAATTGTTCCCTGGCAGGGTGGGCAGGCCCTGGCTTGGGGTGCCCAGAGCAGCTGTGGCTGCCCCTGGATCCCTGGCAGTGCCCAAGGCCAGGCTGGGCAGGGCTGGGAGCAGCCTGGGACAGTGGGAGGTGTCCCTGCCATGGCAGGGCTGGCACTGGATGGGCTTTGAGGTCTCTTCCAAGCCAGAGTTCTATGAAATACCAGAAAAATCAGGTTTTCAATCCCTTCCCTGCTGTCTGATTTGCTTCTGATGCTTTGGTTCACTTGGACAAGGATTTCCTGTGGTTGCTGTTGTTCATGGCCAGTGTCACCTGCTGTCCCAGGTCCCTGAGCAGCCTCAGGTGTTTTTTGTCCATCCTGGGCTGCTCCAGCTCCCCTCACACTGTGTAACCCCTTGCAAGGCTCCAGGACTGCCCTTGCACAGCTCACTGTTGGTTGTTCTGGGTGCCACAGTAAATGGTTCATCTTTGATTTTAAAAGCAAAAGTTCTTCTCTGGTGTCACAGAGTGGTAAAGACCTGAATCTGGGCCAGGAGAGGTGATTAACACCTAATTACCAAATGCAAAGTGCTACAGTGAGACTGGCATGAAAAGGTTCATTAAAGGAACATGAAATATCGTGCAATCAGACTGAATTATTTAAAAGCAGCACCAGCTTGTGAAAGTTGGTTAAAAGGCTCCAGGGGAGCACTGTGGGTTCAGCCCTGCTGGTGCTGGGGGCTCTGTGGGTTAAACCCTCTCTCCTTGTGTTTCCAGCCCATTGGAGCTCTGCTGCTGGAGCACTGCAAGATCACCAAAGAGGAGGAGAATGTCTTCTCCATCAGTGAGTGCTGCCTGTGCTCCCCTTCCCCTGCTGGCCCGTGGGACAGGAGGTGTTGGACTGCTCAGGTCCTGCTTTCCCTGGAGCACTGGGCTCAGCTCAGCCCTGCTCCTGTCCCTCACTGGGGTCCCTGCCCTGCCCTGCTCCTGCCCCTCACTGGGGTCCCTGCCCTGCCCTGCTCCTGTCCCTCACTGGGGTCCCTGCCCTGCCCTGCTCCTGCCCCTCACTGGGGTCCCTGCCCTGCCCTGCCCTGCTCCTGTCCCTCACTGGGGTCACTGCCCAGCCCTGCTCCTGTCCCTCTGTGGGGTCCCTGCCCTGCTCCTGCCCCTCACTGGGGGCCCTGCCCTGCCCTGCCCTGCTCCTGTCCCTCTGTGGGCTCAGGCTCTGCTCCCAGGGAACAGGACGAGAGGAAATGACCTCCACTTGTGCCCAGGACAGGTTTAGGTTGGATGCTGGGGAAAATGTACTCACCAAAAAGGTTTGGAGGTGCTGGCACAGGCTGCCCAGGGCAGTGGTGCAGTCACCACCCCGGGATGTTCAGAAGAGGTGTGGCTGTGGCACCTGGGGACAGGGGTGAACCTGGAGGTGCTGGGCTGATGGTTGGACCTGATGATCTCCAAGGCCTTTTCCAACTTTACCAATGCCTCAGCCTTTCCCTCCTCAGCTGTTCCTCACTGCCTGTGGCCCATCCTGAGGAGAGCTCAGGGAGTTTCCATGGCACAGCCTGTGGGGTTTGCACAGCTCCACGTGCAGAGCAGCACAAAGAGCAGCCAGCCACACTGGGTGCCTGTGGAATCCCTGGCAGGGGGAGCTTGGTTATTGACAGATCTGCTCTGTGCTGCTGCATTTTATCCAAAAAACACCCTGGAGAGGCTCAGATAAAGCTGCTCCAGCCCCATCCTCCCCTCTGTGTGTCCTTGTGCAGCTGCAGCTGGGCCAGCTCCCCTGGGAGCAGCCTTTCATCCTGCAGCTCTCCCCTGTGCCAGAGGTATGTGGCCACAATAACAGGATGTTTCTCCAAGGCCATCCCTGTATCTTTTGGCCTGGCTGCCAGGCACAGCTGTGGCTGTGCTCTGTGCTTCCAAAGGACCCTCAAACTGCCTGGACACACTGAGCCCACAGCACCACGTGCTGGGTTTTGGGGCTTTAGTGGTGTTGGGAGCTCTGCTGGGGGAAGATTCCTGAGCAGGTTAAACCCAGCAGTGCCTGGTGCTGGGGTGTGTCCACAGCACATCCCAAGGTGCTGGTGCAGCCTGACCCAGCCCTGAGGGTCTGCTCAGCAGAGCTCTGGGGACAGGAGCTGGGGACATGTCCTGGTCAAGAGCTGGAGTGGCACCAGGACCTGCTCTCCATGGTGGCAGTGCCACATTCCCAAAAGGCTCCAGCAAGGGCAGCTCTGGGCCTTCTCCCAGTGCAGTTTGACTCCTTGGTTGGCTGCTCCCTGCAGGTATCCCAGTTCCTCTCAGGGCTGTTTCCCACTTGGATTTAAATCCCTGCTGTCTTTGCAAGGGGCTCAGGGTCAGTCCTGGATCTGGCTGTGCTGGCCCAGTTCAGTTCACCCTCAGCTTGGGGAGTTGCTCTTCCTGAGGTCTCTGGCTGCTGTAAGCTGGGAAATGCTGTGGGCAGCTGCCCCAGGCACCCAGGGAATGGGAGAGGGGCTGGAGGCTGGGGATGCAGACTCATTCCCAGCTCATCTTAGTTAACAGAGCTGTTAATTGTGGCCTGGCAGAGTCTGGGGAGGGAGTCTGGGGAGCAGCAGCAGCCCTGCCAGGACCTGCCTGCAGCCTTTTCCTTGTCCCTGGCAGGTTTCATCGAGGAGCCAGAGAGGAAATACTGCTTCGAGTGTGCCACGGAGGAGCAGTGCCAGGAGTGGGTCGAGGCACTCAGGAGAGCCAGGTGGGCTGAGCCCTGGGGGCCCTGGGCTGTGTTCTGGGACCAGGAACTGGGAGGGCAGTGCTTGTCTCCTCCCAGGCAAGCTTCCCTCCAGCTCTAAATAGCATCTGAAACTTCCCCACATCCTTCTCTGCTCAGCCCTTCCCGTGCTCTGTTCCTGTCTTGCAGCTACGAGTTCCTGAGGAGGAGCCTGATTTTCTACAGGAACGAGATCCAGAAGATGACAGGGAAGGTGAGTGAGTCCCTGCAGGCACTGCTCAGCTGTGACTGATGCCCTTGGGTGCAGCAGGGGCTGTTGCTGCCAGTCCTGCCCAGGCTGTGTGTGAGAAGGAGATCCCAGATTCCACAGGGAGCTGTGGTCTCCACAGCCAGAGCTGAGCACCTTGCCCTGGTGCTCACTCCAGCCCTGATGCTCACATTCCAGTGCTGGAGTGGCCCCAGGTTTGGAGCTGGACAGGTCCAGAGCTGGCCTGGCCTCCCAGGGGCTCTCTGGAGCAGCTCCACCAGCCCTGGGCAGATCCTTGGGTAGAGATGCTGCTCACCCCCTGCCAGGTGCCAGGAGCATCCCTGCTCCAGGAGGGAGGTGGCTGTGCCTCCCTGGACCTTGGCTCCCTGCTGTGGCCTGTGTGTCCCAAGGGCTGCTGGGCTTTATCTGCATCTCACTGGTGCCTCCCTGTGCTCCCACAGGACCCCCTGGAGCAGTATGGAATCTCAGAGGAAGCTCGTTTCCAGCTGGGAGCACACAGGCAGTAACCCTCACCTGGCTGCAGCTGGCTCCACCCCAAAGCTCCCACTGTGACCACCTGACTTTTTTATTTATTACCCCAATCGTTTTGTATTTTTTTTAAGGAATTCATCACACATTCCCGGTGCCCCAGCTGGGGGGCTGAGCTGCTCCCTGGGTGTGCAGAGGGAGCAGAGCCCCCAGGCCTGGGTGGGCAGAGGCAGGGGCTGACAGCTCCAGCACCTGCTCCACCCTTGTGCTCAGGATCCTCCTGCAGCCCCCCAGGAGCCAGCCCAGGGCTCATCCCTGGCTGTAAGAGGATGTGACTGATGCATTTCTGGGCTCCAAATTAACCCCTCCTGCCCTCCAGGGAGGAGTGGGAATTCCTCCAGCTCAGCCACGGCTCCAGCTGATGGAGAGGAGCATCTGCAGCCCTGTGCAGCCACAGCCTCGTGGGGTCTTCTTTTCCCTCCCCTGGGCAGGTGCTGCAGTTCCTGGGGGCTGGATAAGCCCATCCAGAAGGA